CAACCGTAAGAATGATGAGAATGACTAAACATTTAAACAAGATTATTTTGATGTAAAAAAAACAGGGAAGAATAAAAAAGAAAACATAAATTTACGGGAGAAAAGGTAAGAGATTTTATTTGCGTCTTTTTGATATTTTTACTGTTAGTTGTATGATTTGTATTTAACATGTTCTTTTCCATATCGACTACATGAATAGTAAATTTTGTCATTCAATGAATATCAGAATGGGTTTTGTGGAGATTTTTAGAAATTTTACAAGTTGGAATCATAAGTCAGTTGAAGCTAGACCACCATGGAAAACCTGGAAGCACTGGATGGCCGATTCGTCCTAGTATTGAATTGGTTGAAGTTAGACATTCAGACCACTGGATGCGGGCTCTGTGGTCTAGTGTTTAAGTGCTCGCGCGCGAAACCAGTAGGTCATGGGTGCGGGGTCGTGGATGCGCGCTGCTGAGGAGTCCCATACTAGGATGAAACGGCTGTCCAGTGCTTTCAGGTTTTCCATGGTGGTCTAGCTTCAATTGACTCATGATTTCAACCTGTGAAATTCAATGAGTAGATTATACAAAAGTTTTTAACAGAAATACAAGAAAGTTGAATCAATGTTTGCAAATACATTTGTTATCTTTATTATTTTTTTATTAAACTCAACGCTTAAATGGTTTTGTAAGTGAACTAGAAGACTAGAAAACATGATAGTTCATAAATTTTAGTAGACAACTGGAACATTGTTGATGCAAAACTAAGTAAAAGATTTGTACTAGAATTACAAATTGACCTTCAAGCATTGGATGGTTATCTAGTCCTAGTATGAAAATCATCAGCAACCTTACTCCACGATCCCGCAAGCGGGACTCGAACAAACCACTTTTGTTTTCGTATGCGAAAGTTTAATCTCTAGACCACTGAATCGGTATCTGACGGTATTATTGTTGAAACTCAATCAATACAAAACATTGCGCGACCATCTTCCATTGTGTTTGGTGGGTAACTTCTTCTAACCTGATACAGTTGAACGCCACTAGCCACAGCATCTCACTAGAACTCCTGGAATTTTCTCTCGAAACTAGTTACTAGTGAGTATATGATAATTTTAAGTGAAGTGTTATGCAGATTGTTAAATTTCATTGAAAGCATGAACCGACCTAAGTTAGATCACCATTGAAAACTTAGAAGCACTGGATGGCTGTCTCGTCCTAGTATGGATATCAATGAAATCCAAAAGTCTACACAACCCATGCTGTAAAAGCCTTATAGTTAATTGATCTTAGTTTATGAGCAGACATAGTAATGGCAGCCGTTTACGAAACTTAAATCGGCAAACTGTTTCTGATTGTGTACTATCATCTAATGTCGAAACACTATGTACATAGGGTCGTTTAGGCTAGAGAATCTAGGGAAACTAACAACATCAGTGATAAGTTAAAAGTCAATCAGCTTGTAAAGCTCAGTGATAATGTCGTTAACGGTGATTATGGGTGATAGGATGTTTGGAATTCATGAGATACAATTGTGTACCTTCAAGACTATATGTACATCTTGATGATGACTGTCAACAACAATTTAGAACTTCCTATCAATCGCCCATTTCTAACCATTTAGCGTGTATTTTTCATTTCTACAGTAAAATATAAGTAAATTTTAAACAATTTTTATCATTAAAAATAGATCAAATCATCAAGATCATTTATCATATGCTTAAAATAGTTTGTTTTGTTTTCAATAAAATCTTATCTAACTCTTATATCTTTACTTCAATCTCAACAGTTCGAATGTTCTTCTTTATAAGTTGACATCATTTTTCAAGTGGTTGTGTGCCTGTGTGTGTGTGTGTTTAGTAAATTACTTCTAGAGATTACTGTATTTATAAATGTAAAAATGATCGAAAAAAAATATATCCAGAACAAGGTTTCAATAAAAACAATAACAGTTTGATTTGAAACTAAGATTAAAATAAAGGTAAACTTTTTTCTTTAAAAAAAAAAAAGGAAACGTACATAAAGAAAGGAATTTTGTGTTAGTAACATATAAAAACTATCCATGCACAACAACTATGGTGTTAATTTATATGAAGTATGAATAAAAAGTTAAAGGAAGAGATTTTAAACCAAATAGAATATAGAAGAGATAGATTGTGGTTAAGAGTGAAATTTAGGATGCTTGTTTTGCTCCATAAGAGGCTCATCAGATGAATATGGACCAATCCTAGTATTGATATTTACGACGAAACTTCGATCAATTAGCTATCTCTTCAAATGATCTGTGATATTATAAATGTACTTACAAACAAAGTTATTGATTTTATTATTGTTATTTATATAAACACATAAATATTGTTACAGCGAGGCATCAACTTTAGATACGCCATACTTCGTCATTCGATTTATGTGAGGGCTGGAATATTGTCCGGGTGCCCAAACCGAAGCAATTGATATTAAATACAAATCTTAGTGTTAATTTAACTATAAATGAATCAAATACGAAGCAATATATTAATGTTTCATTTTCATTTCATTTGGGAGTCAAATAAATCTTTATTTATTGTCATTATGTTCTAATTTGTGTCGTTCGATTCATGATTTTCCAGTACCAAGTCAGTTAGTGAAGTTTTTATTACTTTATTTAGAACTATAACATAACAGCACTTAAAACTACTTTCTTTACAATTAAATCTATTCTTGTAATTAATGAAAGGTTTACGTAATACAGATAAATTATTTACATAAGTCATTAGCAATATGTCAAATTCTAAATCATATTTTTATGTTTGACATAAAACTCTAAACTCTTTGAAAAAGCTTGAACCAGAATGCCAGGCGAAACGTTGAATTTACTCCAAATTACTTCGCTGAGATTTTACAAATACATTCTTCCTCTTTAATTGTAAAAAGGTTTTAAAAAAATAACATCATGTATAACAAGAATATGTATCTTGGCAATTACTATTTTAATAGTTGAGATCATGAGTCAATCAAAGCTAAACCACCATGAAAAACCTGGAAGAACTGGACGGCTGTTTCGTTCTATTGTGGGACTCTTCCGTGGCAGCGCATATCCACGACCCCGCCTAGCGGGATTCGAACCCAGGACCTATCAGTCTCGTGCGCGAGCTCTTAATCACTAGACTACTGAGCTGGCCGTCATCCAACAATGTTAATGTCTAACTTCAACTAATCCACGAAATTGAGCAACATATCCACCATTGTCATCAGTGAGTTCGAATCCCGTGAGATGGAGTCGTGGATGCGCATTGCTGAGGAACCCCACAATAGAACGAAGCCACCGTCCATTGCTTCCAGGTTTTCCATAGTGGCCTAGCTTCAATTGAGTAATGATGTCAACTATTGAAACTTCTACGATCTACACAAAACCCCTACTGATACTAACTACTATTTTAGGTTAGAAGGAAAATAATTCTTTTAGAATGTATATCTTATGAATATATTTTTGAAAAAGTAAACATATTGAGAATGTTTATCCAACGATTTAGTTGATCCATCAGAATATACAGGCAAACTTTTTCATAGTTCAACATATAACATCACTAAAATGTACATCTTTCTGCTTAGTATCCTATAACTTTGTGTGATGAAGATCCGCTTCACCAAGTTGAATTAACATCATTTATATGTGATATGAGTTACATAGAAGTGTTAAATAGAAACGTAAATGTTAAAACACAAACATAAAGTGATATGTCAAATCAAAGTAAATAGTAATTGGTCAACGAACAAACACATATAGACATGAAATATTAAGGTACTATTTTATATGCGCAATCGAGTTTACCTCTATTCTCTACTTAACCATGCTTGTCAACTATTTTGTAATGTTAATAAAAATAATGATATATTTGTAACATTCCGATGAATAGACAAATCAAAATTTCTAACGTTTCGTGACTCGATGTAATCCATTTCTTCAGAGAATAAATAACCAAATCAAAATTAACCCAAGTTTAAACAGTACATAGGAACAAAATAAGAATATTTGGTGTGATCAATCAAAAAACAGATTTGACCAAACCAATGTCATGTAATTCCAGTTAAGGTAATCCATATGAGACATATTTTTATTCATGGTAAGAGATGAAAAATGTGATATTTGTGGTGAGAAAGGAGTTTAATTTGTATTTACGATAATAGTGTGAAATGTAATGTGTTAGTAAGCCGTTATTTTGACTTGAATATTTATATCTCTGATCATTCGTCAGATAATTGAATCTAGTGTATCAAGCGATCAGTTTTTATAATTCATTAATCTAATTATTGTGACTTTAAGGCTGGCTAGTTATCATATGATTTATTCGCCAATCAAAATACGACTTTTTCAATCTTAGTGCTATGCTAAACCAATGACGTTTAACTAGTATAAACAGCCTAGTGTCCTCATTGATTCTTTGTTCTCCTAGCCCGTTCAGTTGAGTTCAGAACGCCAATAACGGCTTCCACTATGCAAATCAATTATTTAAAACATACCAGTCAAACAGATCGCATCACACCATGAAATAGGAAATAACATTTATAAAAAATAGAGATGAAAGAGGCTGTGAACATGGGAGACGGTAATCAATAAACTGAACATAACTTAAGAACAGTAAATTGTATAATCATAGTTTATAGGTCGGAATGAAGCTTATAATAAGAGGAATGCAAATATACATGATGTAGTTAATGAACAGTTATACAATATATATATATATATATATATATATATATATATATATATATATATATATATATATATATATATATATATATATATAATATTGCTCCATTAATAGTTCTCAAAAGTTACCCCTAATTTAATCTTCACTAGAATTTAACACTAATGCCTACTCGTATGTATTAGGGCAATTTAGTGTTGTTATAAGAGATTGTGAAACATAAAACTCTTTTTTCGCCATTATAACATAAAATATTTTCCAAAAAAAAGAAACAAAATACTCATTAAAATTATTAGCAAATTAATGAAACAGTAAGATAGAATTAACTTACTTTACTCGATGCCATATCGCTAACAGATCGATGGGTTTGTATATTTTCTAATCTTTCTAAACACCATTCAAGTTCTTCCAATGTTTCACTGGCTGTTATCTTATTTTGTCCGCCACTGTAACCTTATTTATTTATTGTTTAAAAAAAAAAAGAAAACAGAGAACAAAAATAATACGAAAGAAAATGAGACAAATATCAAGTTGTTCTTTGTCTACAAAAATGTAAACAAAACTGATCGTTTATATACATCAAATGAACAAAGGTAATATGTTCATAAACAGCTAAACAGAAAGGATTAGATTGTAATTAATATTTAAAGTATAATTAAACAAAATGAAAACATTTTAATTTTTGACAAAATTAGTCGGTTACTAACTACTTTTATTTAATATTCAGTAGTTGATCTTAATATTAGAAGAATGAAAACATATTCATTAATAATATAATGAAAAAACTGAAATAACCATCTTTTTGTTAAAGCTCAATGATATAGATAAAAGTATACTAGACTAACTAATCAATCGGATTTAAGGTAACAAATTTTGTATATTTGAATGATGGATAACTTATATCGCAGAAAAACTGAAGTAAATACTACGAATATGCTTAACATTGATAAACATGCGAAGATAAAGTAATAGAGATCGTGATTTATTAATTTGTAAGGATAACTCAAAGGTGTTTGAAATAATGAAAAAGCTTTATAAATATTCACTTACATTAAGCTACAAGAAAGTTGATATACTCGATTCTTAATGATTACTCTTGGCCTCTAACGCCATATCTTAACGGTAACTCTGATTTCTAAGTCGTTATACATCCCCCAAATGACCTGGTATGACCGAGAGTAGAGATAGTCAGCTCCCATTCTCGTCATGCTCTCAAATGGCCACGTGAATGCAACCACTTCCAGGTAAGTCCAACTCACTGCCTTTTCGTGGCGAGGGTATTGCTTATGAACTTGAGAGGACGAAAAGCGAATGTCCGGCGCTTTGACTGTGTTAGTGGATACGGAGGGTTTATCTAGGGGAGTTGGAAAACTCTGATTTCCAACCATTGGTGCACATGGGCTCCAGGATCCTAAGGAAAAAAATGGCATATGAACCTAATGTTGGTCACCGGCTACCATGGGACTGCATCTCCTTACGTTGCTTCACTTCCTTGTGGAGTAGACTTTTAGGTCAAAGGCTCGGGGTGTGTCATCCTAAGAAAACCACCTGCTGGGCATCCGGCCGGCATCTCAGCCCTCGCACAAATCGAATGACTTATGTATCTCATATATATTTTATGCTTCCTTGTATCAATGTTTATGTATTTAAATAAATAAAATAAATAGATCGTTATACTTAATCTTAATCCAAATCTTAGTAACTAATCCTAACCTACTCTTATCCCCAAATCCCGATAGTAACCGAACTTCTAACATTAAACGTGAACCCCTAAATCTCAGCCAAAGCTCCTAGACATTATGAACCTTTATGTAACAAATTATTTATCGAAATCATCTGAATTATAATTCTATGTGTTCAAAAAGGTAACCAGTATAGAACAATTCTACCGTGATATGTTTTAAAAACTAGTAATGAAATAACCATCGTGTCACTAAAACATGACCAGTACATTTCCTTCTCTTTTAATCTAGGAAAATTTTTTTATCTCTATAAATGTCTAAACATTGATTTCAGTTCTATAGACGGTTATGACATTTACATGTATTTATGGAATTTCAATCTCGTTCAAATAATGGTCGAAAATTGTGCATGAAAACGCTTTAGAGTTTTATAGAATATAGAAATATATATACATATCAATGAGTGGTAGAGTTGATAAAAGTAGCAAATAGCACTGACTATTAAAAACCACATTTATCAAGCCAAATTTATAAACCCTAGTTCTCATTTAATCATTTGCTTTGATGTGGATTGATTTAACGGGTTGTTGTGGTATATCGTGAATTGATTGAAGTTGAGATCATATCATTCAACACTGACATCTTTTTAATAATTAGGCATTCTCTACGAAGTTCTGAAATTGACCCCTAGTGGACTTATGGGAGCATACTACTAAGGAGTTCCATACTGAGATGAAATAGCTGTCTACCACTTTCTAATTTCTAACACTACCCTAACTGTGATCAGTCTATGGTGAATATAACATAAGAATATAGTTTAATTAAAAATGAAAATTAATAATATTGAAATACTTACCTAAGTGTGAAGAACTATTTCCATCTTCATTAGATTGTATTGATTGAACAGCTCCAAATCGTGAACTAGAAAAATAAAAGACATTTTAGAGAAATTTGTTAAACATGTATCGTTTAACTCTTTAATTACACTTTCCTAGAATAGGTTTAAGAGCATTGTGAATAAGGATTTCGTGTACAAAATGTTCACACTTATTTAGTTCAGTTGCTATAAATACTCTTTTTTCTATTCATCATATGTAATATGGTTTAATTCTAATCTATTTGTCTATTCTTATAACAAGATAGATAAAGAGAAAGATATACCGAAAACTATAGTGTTTCTGTTTGAGGTGTCTAGTATTTATTATCGTAATAATCTGTAATCCTTTTGTAGTAGCGCATCGGTACATACAGTTAGTATTCATTATTATGCAGCTCAAACAAATTTAAAATAGGTAGGCTAATTACAATATTTGTACAGTTGAAACGTAGATGGCCATCAAACGTTTAAGCCGTTACAGTAGTAGTTGCTATCAGTGAAAATGATTTCGTGATATTAATTTTTTTAGTGAATATATTAGGAAAAAGTCACTATTAATGAACATTTTTTTGATTGAGATCATGAACCAATTGATGTTGCTGAGTAGTAACAGAAGTGGTTCAGGTAAATAGTTTTATAAAAAAAAGTTCATCGTCGTCTACAAGTTAGACATTAGCACTGGTGGATGCCGACTCAGCAGTTTAAAAGTTAAGGTAGGTACATTTTAGTGGAACCCTTTATTTTGTCGTCATTTAGATCGGACGATGTTTGTGTGCGGGCTCTTCACTTTATTGGCCCGGGATCTGACTCCAAGTAGATAGTATGAATGATTGTTATTGAAATATATATGTCGTTTATCCTCGTATATAATGACCGACTTGAATCGCGTTAGTCAATAACAGAATAAAATAAGTCGAATAACGAGAATGGACTTACCCACCATCTCCACTGCATGTCGTTTCGCTTCACTCTATTCCATTCGCTTCATATGCAAAATATATGTATTCAAAAGTCCATTCTCGTTATTTGACTTATTTAATTCCGTTACTTACTAATGCGATATATATATATATATATATATATATATATATATATATATATATATATATATATATATATATATATATATATATATATATATATACTTGGAGTCAGATCCCGGTCCACCAAACCATCCAACTAACGAGTCTCAAGTAAGGTAAAACCAGTGTCCTGGATTTCATTACTAACAATAGCAAACCTATTCTAAATAGTGTTTGGTTTTTGTTTTGGTAATTAATTAACGAAACATACACAAAGGGAAAAGCAAGATTCTACAGTAAAACAAAGCATGCAACAATCGAATCACACTTGACAAAAAAGATTTGGAAGGTGTAAAAACCTTTACATATCTGAGCAGCAACATTGATGAACACGATGGATCTGATGGAGATGTGAATGCGCGGATCGGCAAAGCAAGAGCAGCATATCTATAACTGAAGAACACCTGAAACTAAAAACAACTGTCTGTCAACCAACACCAAAGTCAGAATTTTCAATACAAATGTCAATACAGTTCTACTGTATGAGGCGGAGACTTGGAGAATTACGAAAGCCATCATTCAGAAGATACAGGTGTTTATTAACAGTCGCCTACGCAAAATACTTCGTATCCGTTAGTCAGACACTATCAGCAACAGCCAACTGTGGGAGAGAACAAACCAGATCCCAGCGGAGGAAGAAATCAGTAAGAAGCGCTGGAAGTACGTAAGATACATATTGGGGAAATCACCCAACTACATCAGAAGGCAAGCCCTGATATGGAATTCTCAATACCGAAAGGGGAGAGGAAGACCAAACAACACATTACACCGAGAAATGGAGATAGACATGAGAAAAATGAACAAGAATTGGATAGAACTAGAAAGGAAGTCTCAGGACAGAGTGGATTGAAGAATGCTGATCGGTGGCCTATGCTCCATTAGGAGTAACAGGATTAATTAATTAATTCACAAACTGTCTACTTATAGAGATGTAAACTCAAATCAATAGAGTATCTATTATTATTTACTTATATTGTATAGACAACATATATGTAATGGTTTTAACTTCTTTTACTTTATAAAAGAAAACAAAAATAAATAGATATCAGATAATATTTTAGTATAAAATAAGATAGATGACAAATAAAATAAACAAGATATATTTTGATGAATTCAAGGTCATCTAAGGTCAAGTTGATTTAAACAAATAATAAATAAAACATATCATGTTTTTATTTTATTTTGTTTTTCTTTCACGATGTAAAGAAGTTAAATTACTTTCATTATTATAGAATGTATGTTGGAATAATAAATGATATTTGTTTAATGTAACTTATAAATTAATGATTTCATATAAAGTAATCTTTGATATCATTGATAAATGAACTCTTCTTAAAGCGTTATATATACATGTATACTATTAAGATGATTATTGTAAGCTATAGGGATTGTAATACTTCGACCTCCAATCTCAATATATAATGCGCGCAATGTCGAGTCACCTAGACTGGTGGCCACATCGCAACACGGTCGATAGAATTCGATCTGCACTAATAAGGACTAGACAATCATGACATTGATCGCCACCCAGTGTTCAATCGATTGTGAACGTATTGGTGTTAGACCACCAACCAATCCGTGGATTGGTTGAGGTTAGATATTAATACTGTTGGATGTTGGCTCAGTGACTTAGTAGGTTAAATGTTCGGGCGCGAGACTGAAGGCTCTGGGTTCGAATCCCGCGAGTGGGGTCGTGGATGCGCACTGATGAAGAGTCGCACAATAGGAAGAAACGGCCGTCCAATGTTTCCAGTTTTCCAAAGGTGGTGGTCTAACACCAATCAGTTCATGATCTCAATCAATAACTTAATAATCTTCACAACCCTATACTAATAATTTAGATTTGATCAGTAAGTCGTGATCGAAGTACAATTTAGGGTATATATGTGGGTCATTTATGCGTTCTTAGATTATGATAACATGATGAGATGAATTTAAAAAAAGATTAATAGAATATAAATTGAAATTATGTAATAGTAATGCCAGGCAGAAATAACTAAACATTGGGAATATAGCTTGAAAAGACAGAATGGAAAGATATTCATGAAAGAATAGTGCAATACAAGATAGATAGGAAGAGAAATAATAAATACATTTGTACTACTTTAACTGGTTACCACAAGATTATATGATGGGATCATAGATTTTATATTGATCCAAATTCAGTTATGTGATATATCTAGTCTTTATTCAGAGCCTATCACACTTAAACATAAATGAAATACGCTAAAAGAATACTTTTGTTAATAGCAAATTGGAGATATTGAAATGGATCAAACGATCAGATTTACATTCTGAAATCATGTAATTTAAAACGAAGGTATCTAAAACCAACCTAAAATTAATCGAATATTCAAATATACAACTTTCATTAAAAAATTTCTCATCAAAACACTAACATATGACTAAGGAATAATCTTTTCAATGAATTTCTCACCAGGTTCTACAATTATATATCCAAACTAACAATCCATAAAATTATCCAGGTTTAAGGTAAAGTTCATCATTTATAATATTATAACGAGTGAATTAAGGATGGTTTGTAATATAAACTAAAATCGTTCACGTTGAGGTGACTAACATAGTGACAAACAAAAATACAAGTGGGGATGAACATATATATTTTAACAAAAAACATTACAGAGTTATTTGGCAAAATATAAAAACCATACGTTTGATCCATTAATTATTTAGGACTTTATTTTTCCTTCATTTCCTTGTCCCCATTCTCTTCGATTTAATCTTTTCAACCTTCTGCTGCCAGGTTTTCTACTTTCGATTGGTGTTATATACTACTTATATCTGTCGACATAAGTAGCACAGACCGTAGTATATTGTGTTAACTTGAGTAGGTTTACACGTTAAATGAAATTGTGAGATAAAATGATCAGAATAAATATGGTCAACATGTAGTGACAGAGAGAAGAATGTAATTACAAATTGGAAATTACTTAATATGTAGAATGATATGAAATGGGTACGAATTAGTAAGTAGAGCTGTATGCTGAATAAATTTCTCAAAAAGGTTGGCTGTTTTTATAATAATAGCAATAATGTGTGAATAAGATAAGTGTAAACCATAAAAATGAACATTTGGCAAATTTCGTCACCATATCATAAAAATGAATATTAACTAAATAGGCCAGAAGTTGGCCAAGACAAAAGGAAAGGTTGAACATTTTTCTTATGGATGTCAAACTCTGGCTTTTATGACTCGAATACCAATATCTTCAGAAGTCTAAAAGATTCTCAGTTTGACAAAATTAGGCAGATGGCTACATGTATAACCAGTTTGTATTAAATAAGCTTAAATCGAGCTGTTAACATTTTAAACTATGTTTGTGATACGATTCCCTCCCTCTAAATGCAAAACAGGGATTTAGGATCGGCTTGTGTCAGTTCTTAGATTAATAATAGAGAGCGAAGTAGCTGATCAAATTGACCACTAAATTTTTCTTGAGAGTCTTATCAGTACTGATGGTCTGATGTCTGACGAAATCTTGGCACGGATTCAGAAGGCTCGATTGGTTTTGGAAGCTTGCGTCCCTTGTGTCATAGGTGAGGCATCCGTCTGCCAACCGAAAGACGATTTTGTTGAGCGACAGTTTGCTCCACCCTACTTTTTAGGTGTGAAACCCGACTATTAAGAATAAAGAATATTCGTAGGTTACAAGTATTTGATCATAGTTGTCTTCGATGCGTTGCCAAATGTATTATAGGACCACCGAGTGAGCAATGGCTGGGTTGGGAATAAAGTACCAGGTAATGGTGGTATATGGACTGATGAGATAGTAAATCTTGATCATCTAAGGTGGTTGGGAAATGCTTTACGTATGCCTAAGTAGGGCCTACTTCGATGGGCGATTTTGTCCGGTGTAGAAGCAGTCTGGAAGAATGCAAGGGGCAGCCAAACCGAAACATGGCATTGATCCATAGACTCATTGACAACCAGACTGAGGGAT